ATAAAGATTGCAAATATAAATATCAAAACAAATGCAAAAAAGTGTCAAAATATGATTTCGACCTCGTGGACGGGTAGTCATTGTTTGGCAATATATAGAGAGTGTAACAAGTAAAGTTGAGGATAATCTATTGTTCTTTGTGCTAATATAAATATCAAATACCCAAAGCACAAAAGTTTTTGTTAAATTTTAAGAAGCAAAAAAGTGTCACAACTGTGGGGGGTTGAATCTCACAATCAAAGTATGCTAAGTAACTTTTAGGGTTTGTAAACTTCTGCGGAAAGCTACCAAACGTGAGATCTCAGGAGAGGTTTTATTAGCTGTCAAAAAGCTGTTACAAGAGTTTTTTGCTATTGATTTTCGGATCCCTTCTTTTAAGGATGTACAAGAGTATTTATATTAGTCTAGGTCTTTAGGGCTAAGCCCAAAGCGATAAAGAAAACTTCCTTTTTCTAGGGATATTTTCTTTTATTCACGGAAGGCTTCAAGTCGGCTAGTCCTTAAGTCGGCTAGCCCATAAACCGACAGGTCATTATGAGCTTTCTTCATGGATCGGCCCACTTTGCTAGAAGACCACCGGTTCGTCCGTTTACCATCGGCTCTCTGGTTTGATGTCGACATGTTGCCTTAATTAAACCGGCTTGCTGGTTTGATCTGACACTTAGCCATTTTCAAGGTTGTTGATTCATGGGGAGGAATATGACCCCAACAACAACATGACTTCGAACTCACGCGCGGATAATCATTGATAGGGAGTGTAACCAGTTAAGCTGATGATCATCAGTTGTTCATTGCGGTACTATAAATATCAAATACGGAATTTAGTGTCGGCCTGCGATTTTTGTTTGAATTTAATGAAAATCAGAAGATATCACGACTTACCTCGACAGCATGAAATACCGAACGGAGATATGAAGCATAGACCTGGTCTATTAGACGGGTCGTTGAAGTCTTCGAGTTGGTAATGTGACAAGACGAAGACTGATCAAGAAAACCGAACGGAGCGAAATAGAGCTGTGACCGATCCATGCGTCTGAACTTTGAGAGTTTCGAAAAAAAAACCCTTTGTCAATATCAATCAAGGTCAAATTTGAGATTAATTGAAACTAAATCCTAATGGGACATTCTTATAGAGATAAAAGTATATTGGGATATTTTTTATTTCATTGTATCATAATTTAGAAAATTCTCTATATTTAAAAGGATAATTAATGTTATGTAAAAAACGTGAGGACATCAAACTTCATAATTACAAAATGGAGGGAGTAATTAGTTAACGCTTAACAGTAAAGCAAAGCAATAAATCAAAAAAATTAGTTAACTGTAATTAACTAGCTCGCGCATTGTGACAATTAGTTACTAATTTAGGACAAAAGTTTATACGAAGTGAAACTTTCCTTTTGCCAGTCTTAGTCTGTCTCCGACCTCTACAAAACCAGTCAACAACCATCGCCCGAATCCGCCATGATGCCGCTACCGTCGGTCGGTGGACTTGGTATCGCCGCTATGTCATACGTGGCGGTTGACTACATGCGATACGTGTCGCCGGTGTGGCATTCTCGTCTTCAGCCAGTTCTCTGGTCTCTCCTGGTCATCGTGGTCCTCACGCGCGTCCTGTTCTACAAGCACTGGTCTGCGGAGTTCCGAGCAGCCATACCTTTCCTCGCCTCCATTTTCTTCTTGCTCTCCGCTCTTCTCTTCGAAGCTCTTTCTGTCCGCTCCGTCACCGCCGTTCTCGGCTTAGATTGGCACCGGTACTTTGCTTCTTCCTCGCTAGATCTGTTTCCAATCAGCTCCAAATGTTTATTAATCTGGTGGATTCGGATTTTACTGTCACTCTTTTTAGCTCATTTGGTGCTACTGGATCTGAATTTTAGTGTG